ATCCCCATCCTGTCCCCATGTCCATCCCCATCCCCATCTCCATGTCCATCCCCATCCCCATCTCCATCCCCATTGCTGTCAGCACCTCCATCTGCATCCCCATCCTCATCCCTATCCCCATCTCCACCTCCATTTCCATCCCCATCCCCATCTCCATCCCCATTGCTGTCAGCATCTCCATCCACATCCCCATCCTCATCCCTATCCCCATCTCCACCTCCATCCCCATCCCTATCCCCATCTCCACCTCCATTTCCATCCCCATCCCCAACTCCATCTCCATCCCCATCCCCACCTCCGTCTCCATCCCCATCCCCACTGCTGTCCCCATCCCCATCTCCATCCCCATTGCTGTCAGCATCTCCATCCACATCCCCATCCTCATCCCTATCCCCGTCTCCATTCCCATCCTAATGCCCATCCCTATGTCCATCTCCATCCCCATCATAATCCCCATCCCTATGCCCATCTCCACTCCATACCCTTCCTGTTCCCATCCCCATCTCCATCCTGATACCCACCCCATCCCCATCCTCAACCCGTCCCCATTTCCCATCCCTTGTCCCCTGCTCCGAAGCCCCCCCGAGGTGCCGGCACATCCCCAGGGATGCTCAGGAGCACTGCACCCGTGGCACAGAGCCCAGCACCCGTTCAGAGAGGGCTGTGCATCCCACGGCTGGCAATGGCCGTTCTGCTGCTCTCTCCCCTTCCCTCTCTCTGCCTTTCTGAAAATTGATAATTAACCTTTTGTCCATGGGGCTGTTGTGTTTATTTGGTGCAGGCGGCTGCAGGGCGCTGATATGGAAATCGCAGCCGGCAAGCAGCTCCCCGTCTTCCCCTCAATCTGCAGCCTCGCACAGCCGTTGGGCAGAGATAAGCAGGTGCTTATTCACAGCCCTGCAGCTGCCTGCGAGGGTAGCCCTACCTGATCACTCCAATCTCAGTGAAAAACTACTTGAGGTTAGGCTACCGCGATGGAGAGAGCCGATAGGGACCGCGCCAGACAGCTCCCCCGGCTCCCGGCCCGCGCTCCTGCCTCCCTCTGCCCACGTCCTCTCCTTTCCCTCCGTCTCCCTGCTCTGTCTTCCCCGTTATCTCCCTCTCCACATCCCTTTGATTTCTCTTTTTTTTTTTTTCCCTTACAGAATTTGCCTTTGTGTTTCACGAACTCTCTGCTGTTCCCGTCCCCCCAACAGCCTGGCCACCGCTCTCCTTCCCATCCCCATCCCCTGCCTTTGCTCCCGCATCCACATTCCCTGGCAGGCTTGGGCATCCCCATAGAAAAGCCCAATCCCAGCCTCACACTTGCAGCACCCAGGGCCGTGTCCCCCCTCCCCGCAGCCCAAAAGGCAGCCCCGCTTTGGGGGGGCAATGGTCTGGTCTTGGTTCGGCAGCTGCCGGTGGTGCTTTGCTCACGGGTTATTGCTGCCACTTCCTTTCACCTCGGATTTCCCCGCGCTGCATCGCTCTCAGATGGAAAGGGGAAGGCGGTGGGGAGCTGAAGGGAGTGGGTGCTGCAGGAGGAGGGGTGCTGCAGGCAGTGGGTGCTGCAGGCAGTGGGTGCTGCAGGAGGAGGGGTGCTGCAGGCAGTGGGTGCTGCAGGCGAGGGGGTGCTGCAGGCAGTGGGGTGCTGCAGGCAGGGGGGTGCTGCAGTCAGGGGGGTGCTGCAGGCAGGGGGTGCTGCAGGCAGGGGGGTGCTGCAGTCAGGGGGGTGCTGCAGGCAGGGGGTGCTGCAGGCAGGGGGGTGCTGTAGGAAGTGGGTGCTGCAGGCAGTGGGTGCTGCAGGCGAGGGGGTGCTGCAGGCAGTGGGTGCTGCAGGCAGTGGGGTGCTGCACACTGTGGGGTTCTGCAGGCAGTGGGTGCTGCAGGCGGAAGGGTGCTGCAGTCATAGGGGTGCTGTAGGCAGTGGGTGCTGTAGGCAGTGGGTGCTGCAGGCATTGGGTGCTGCAGGCATTGGGGTGCTGCAGGCTGGGGGTGCTGCAGGCTGGGGGTGCTGCAGGCAGTGGGTGCTGCAGGCGGAGTGGTGCTGCAGGCAGTGGGGTGCCGCAGGCTGGGGGTGCTGCAGGCTGGGGGTGCTGCAGGCAGTGGGTGCTGCAGTCGTAGGGGGGCTGCAGGCTGTGGGTGCTGCAGGCTGTGGGTGCTGCAGGCGAGGGGGTGCTGCAGGCAGTGGGGTGCTGCAGGCAGTGGGGTGCTGCAGGTGGTGGGGTGCTGCAGGCAGTGGGTGCTGCAGGCAGTGGGGTGCTGCACACTGTGGGGTGCTGCAGGCAGTGGGTGCTGCAGGCGGAAGGGTGCTGCAGTCATAGGGGTGCTGCAGGCAGTGGGTGCTGCAGGCGGAGTGGTGCTGCAGGCATAGGGGTGCCGCAGGCTGTGGGTGCTGCAGGCGAGGGGGTGCTGCAGGCTGGGGGTGCTGCAGGCAGTGGGTGCTGCAGGTGGAGTGGTGCTGCAGGCATAGGGGTGCTGCAGGCTGTGGGTGCTGCAGGCAGTGGGGTGCTGCAGGCATAGGGGTGCCGCAGGCAGTGGGTGCTGCAGGCAAGGGGGTGCTGCAGGTGGCGGGGTGCTGCAGGCAGTGGGTGCTTGGCCATGGGGTCGAGCCGGTGCCCGCTGGAGCATTCCCAAGGGAAGAGTTCGGAGCCGATCGCGGGGCCGGTGCGGTGTGAGGGCGGGCAGCGAGCGGCACTGCGGGGCCGCGGCTGCCCCCGGGGGTTTCTGCCTCCCTCTGAGGGCAGAGGCGGTGCGAGCCCGTCCCGCTTCTCCTTTGCCCGGGGAAGTTCCTGCCCCACAGCGTGCGTGCGGCTCTGACTCAGAGGGAAACCGACCGCGGCGGGCGGGGGGGCTCGGCCGTGCCGGGGCAGACCCCACATCCCCAGGGGTTCCCTCCGCCACAGGCTGGACCCTGTGCCCCCAGGGGTTCCCCACAGGCTGAGCCAGACCTGGGACCCCAAGGGTTCCCGCTATGCACACCCATACCCCACAGGTTCCCCCCGTGCTGAGCCACACACTGGGGTCCTTCTATACCAACCCAGACGCCAGGACCTCAGGGATTCCCCCCCCCACAGCCCCTTGTGGCCCCAGGAGTTCTCCACAGTCTGAGCCAGACCTGGGACCCCCAAGGGTTCCCTCTATGTCAACACAGACACCAGAGGTTCCCCACCAGGCCAGGGCAGACCCCAAGGGTTCCCTTCATGCTGACCCGGACCCCAGGGGCTCCCCCCCCCATGCCAACCCAGACCCCAGGACCCCAAAGGGGGCAATCTCTGGTCCCCAGCATCCTAGTGCCACTGATGCATGGCTCTTGCAGCTGCCCAGGCAGATGCTCTCCCCTTTGTGTGCAGAGCAAACCCTCCAGCTGCAGGTGACATTGGGGACATGGGGCCTCAGGTGACACTGGCAACAAGGGGCTGCAGCTGGGGGGGGGATTTTCCTGGCCAGACCTGAAACCTCAGGTTTTGACTTGCTGCCCAGGGACAATCCCCAGGAGCAGCTGCCACCTTTAATCTCCATACACCTTCCATCTCCCATTGCAGGTGACCCTGGCCCCCATCCAAGGTGGCTTAACAAAACCATGGGCTGAGCCCACCTGGGCCTGCAGCCACCCAACCCACAAGAAATAAAAGGAGAAGAGGCAAGAACGTGGAACACGACTGGGAACCCTGCTGAAACCTCTGCCAGTCCTCAGTCCGCACAGCCAGGCTGCTCTGCCCACACCGGTGGGGCACAGGCATTCCCAGGGCAGGTAGGATGGAGCTGGGATCCCCCAGCATCACTGGGATGTGGGATGCAGGTCTGGGGCAGAGTCTTGCTGTGGGCAGCTGCAACATCTCCCTCAGAGCACAGCCCTGAGTGGGTTGGGGCTGTGGTTTGTAGCTGTGTTGCCCTTTCCCTCTGCACATCGGCCCCATACTGGGGCTTCCCCTTGTCTCCCTGCAGCACCCAGACCGCGCTCACCATCCCCTGGGGCCCCAGGGTGCACCCAGAGGTCAGCGATGCAGCAAACCTGTTGATGACACCCTGCTTCACCCGTCTCTACCCCGCAGCCTGTGCCCCACAGCACAGCACCCCCGTGCTCTGGGACCCCACTTACACCCCAGTGCCCCTTTCCCATCCACCCCCTGAGAGCCCCGCACTGGGAGCACAAAGCGGGGAGCCCCAGGAGCCATCTGCGGGAGCGCAGGTGGCCACCGAGACACACCATCTGCTCAGCCACCTTCGGGGACCGTGCGGCGCTGCTGTATTTTTAGGACACGTTTCCTCCCTCCCACCTGCAGCCCGGAGCTGCCTTTCGGGTTTCTAACAAGTTTTTCCTCTCGCTGGTGGCTGTTGCAGAGCCCAGGCCCTGGTGATGCTGGGGCTGGTCTGGGGGTGCAGGGATGGACTGCAATGGGGGGCTCTGTACCCAATGTGGGGGTTATCCCAAGTGCTGAGCAGGCCGAGGTGATGCTGGAGCCAGGCTGGTGCCTGGAGCCTGTGTGGCTCCTGCACAGCGCTGGTGCTGCAGCCAGGGGACATCCTCATGCCCATGGGTGTCCGCAGGCAAAGGGGACACTGGGATGCAGGGAGGTGAGCCCTTGGTGTGGCAGCATGGTGGTTGTGCCAGGCTACACTGAGGTGGCCATGGTGTGCTATACACTGCAGCAATGATGCTGTACCATCTTGTGCTGGGCTACCCCGCACTGTGCTGCACCTATCCCTGTGCCGTGCTGTGTTGGTGGTACCATCCTGCACTGCACTTCCCACTCCGTCCTGCGCCATCCTGTGCTGCATCATGCCAGCCATGCAATGCTGGGCTGCATCGTGCCGGCTGTGCCATGCTGGCTTGCCAGCGCAATGCTGCAACTCGATAGCCATGCAGTGCCGTGCCGTGCCGTGCCACGCCACGCCATACCATGCCACATTATGCTGCTTATACAATGCCACGCTGCACCACGCTGCCCATGCCAAGGTGCACCATGCAACCACGGTGCTCCTGTCTTGCCGTGCTGCACGGCGCTGCCCATGCTGACCTGAACCCGCACCGGTGCCTCGCAGTGAGGAAGTGAAGCCGGCGCGAAGGGGAAGTTGTTGGAAAGTCAGACCGGAATGGCTGATAGGGAAGGCAGAGCTGGGCTTGGTCGCAGATGGTTCCTGTTGGGGAAGGACACGGGCGCAGCTGCCCGGCCCCCCCCACCCTCTGCATTATCACTGCCCGGCAGCTGTTCACCTTCCCCTTGCCATGGGGCACGGCTCCGCTGTCACCGCGGCCGGCACATGAGCGGCCCTCGCGGCACCGAGCGGGCAGGACCTTGCTCCCCACCGGTGCTCAGCATCCCCCTGCCCGGCACGGCTCCAGCACCCACCTTGGAGCAGGCTGTGTCAGGGTGCTGACACCCATCCCCTGCCATGCTCACAGGACCCCCCAGGCCGGACAGCCACCCCTCCAGGGCAGCGGGCAGGACCGGACAAGGTAAGGCCAAGGCAGTGATGGGGGGGGAAGGCGGTGGGTGGCTGTGTCCATGCCATGTGCCATGGTGCAGGTGACTCTCCCCAGTGTCCGATGCAGCCTTACATTGGACCCTGGGATTTGCACTGGGTGGGCTCGTGCTCCCCAAGGGTAGCATATGGCCAGTGCCCATCAATGCATCCCCAGTGGGGACCAACCAGCAGGAGTGGTGAGCTGGGGCATGGCTGACCCCATGGCACCACGGGTTTGCCACCACAGGGACCCATGTGCATCCTGCTCTGCAATTAACCTTTCCATAATGAGTAATCAGTTTATTTACAAGGTTTCAATCCTCTGTTTACTGGGTGTTTTCATGCATTCTTGAGCCAGCAGCTCACATGCTGCTCAGGAGCTGCTCGCTTGCAGCATGGCAATGTTGAAGCTCTATGGGGCCAGGGCATCCAGCTGCCCTGTGCTGCAGCATCCCCCTGGCACCAACATGGCCAGACACAAGGCAATGGGCACCCCACAGCCTGGCCTTGGCCAAGGGGCTGTATTAGCACTGGGGGGGGGCTCCTACTGGGCCCATGCCTGGGCAGGAAAGCGGCTGCCGGCTGAGTCATCGACATTTGTCTGCCCTGAGTGAACAATACTGGCCCTCTGCCTCGCTTCCCCTCTCACACCCTATCCCCACCGGCACCGTGCTCTGCTCACAGCCCCCTGCCCCACTGCTCAGCCCTGCCACCACTCGCAGACAGGGGACATGGCATAGACAGGGGTTTGGGTGCACTCTGGGTGCTGCCCCCATTGTACCATGTCATGCAGGTAGGAGCTGTGCTGGGGTCCTTGTCCCCCCATCTGCCTCCTGCAGCAATATCGGGTGCATCCCCGGTGATGGGCACCCACTGGGAGCCATGCGGATGCAGTATGGGCGCCGTTGTCCCCAGGGCTGCAGGGATGGGAGCCGTGCAGATTGCTGCAGGCTTGCTGAGCTGCCCGTTAGGCTGTTGGCAAGAGAAATGTTTATTTTGTTGGCCAAATACCTCTGCAAACTTCCTGATTTCCTTGCGGCCGGCGAGGCAGCGATAGGGCTGGCAGGGCCGTTGCCTGCCCCATGCTCTGGCTTTGGCGCGGAGAGCTGTTATCTTCGGTGCACAGTGGGCAGGGAAGAGGTGGAGAAAGGGAAATGAAATACAACAGAGGTGGCACGTTTTTTGCTCTTGATAACAAGCCCTGCTTTTAGCCTGGGAACTTGGAAACGATGCAGGTGGCCAGAGACAGCCGCAACGTCCCCTGCCGCTGCGGTGCTTCTGGACCTGGTAACGGATCCCAGACCTCTCTGCTGTGAGGCTGTGGCTCCCCAAGGCCTGGCGTGGATCAGCGCTGACCTCTGTGCAGTCACACACCAATGATGGGACATCTCAGCCCTGGGGGGAGTTCTGAGATCAGCCCTGGGGCAAAGCCATGTGCTGGAGCGAAGGCAGGCTGTGCTGCACCACCTCCCACTAGCTCCGATTGATTTTTGCAGGGATGGGAGGTGTTGGAAGTGCAATGCAAGCTAATTAAATTCCCATCCCTAACGAGCCCTCTGCAAGCAGTGGGATGGGGAGGGCTGGCAGGTACCCCGTGTTTGTGGGGGAGAAGGGGAATGTGAACCCACTGTTACCCCTATCAGGGCTGCCCACGAGGCAAGGGGCAGGGAGGACAGCCGTGATGCAATGGTAGGTCTGAGAGATGCTCTCATCTCCTCAGCCCTTGGCATTGCATAGAGGTCTCACGTGCACCAGGCAGTATTAGGAGTCAGGTCCATGACTCTCATGGAGGCTCAGCAGCACCATGCCTGATCCTGGCCTTCCAAAGGGAAGCAGCACCATGGGGAGGGACAGAAGGAGCTGGAGGGACCTTTGCAGTGCAGCAAGGTGCATGGCTGTCCATCACACTGCGCTCATTGAGGCTGCTCAGGGAGTTTTGTTCAGCATGTCACAGGGAATTCCCATTGCCTGAGGATGAAGCTGACAGTGCTGCCACAGGGGTACCAGCAGCGTCTCTGTGCACCCCAAAGCATCAGCTCCCAGAGGCAGGGCAGCACATGGCCGCATCTGCTTTGCAATTAAAACACTTTCCAGACTCTCTGTGGCAAAGAAAAGAGGCAAACTTGGCCCCCAGCAGCCTCAAAACCTTAGGAACACCCATAGGAATGGTGTCGTTTCCCAAAGTCTTCTGGTGTTTAAGCCAAGCCAGTGATTTTTCTGAGCCTGTGGCACAGGGCGAGCGGGGATGATAAGCAGTAGGGGCTGGTTTCCCTTTGAATGCCATGAAGCAGGAACGAATCTGTCAGCAAGGAAAACAGGATTTGGGTTTTTTTTGCTTTTAATGGAAGATGCTTTTTTTTTTTCTCTTTTCTTTATGGAAGTTGTGGGAAAGCCACAAAGCCCCAGGATCTGCTTCCTGGTGGCAGCAACCAAGGGGCTGCTCCTTTCAGCTGAGGGAATGAGGGTCCAGGGCTGCTGCAGGGGAGGTGGCCCTGATTCCGGGGAGCCCCACAAGTGGGCACAGAGGGAAGGCAGGCACAAAGGATCCCCCTTTCATCAGAGCCTGGCGAGCAGCACTTCCTGCCGAGCAGATGTGACCGCAGCGGATGCAGCTGCAGCGGGCGATAGCCAGCGGGCAGGCAAGCTGTCTCCCCGGCCACTGGCTCCCCACCAGCCCCTTATCTCCCCCTCGCATTCCCCGATGCACTAGTGTGCAGGGAAACGCAGCCAGGGCTCCTGCAAGCGGAATGCCAAGGGAAGAACACCGGGGGCTGCAGCCTGGCTCCTGGCACTCTGGATTCAGACACTGAGATTCAAGCCACTGCATCTGTGCAGGCAGCTGGGCAATGGGAACATCCGTGGTCACACTGACCCTGCCCAGCCCAGCCCAAGCACGGCATTCCCACAGGGATGCTCTGAGCAAACAGGTCCCTGTGGGAAATGGGGACCCTAGAGTGAAGTGAGGTTTTGCATTGCTGCATCTGCTTGTGAGCATCCAGCCCCACACTGTCCCCAAATGCTGGGACCTCACACATCCAGCAAGGACCACAAAGAGGCACCCGGGGATGCTCTGCTCCCAAGAGGGAAGAGGTAGAGATTGAGAAACCCAGATGGACAGCCAGACCCGGTGGGGTGACACAGGAAACCTGCAGCACGGCTCAGTGCCTTCGCCTCCAGACAAGCCTCCGTGAGAGCCAGGCCATGGCAGGAGCCCCAGCACAGTGCAGGTGCCCATGGGTGCTGCCCAGCATGCCAGGACTAAGCAGAGCGAGTGGGGGGAATGTGGGATAAAGCCTTTCCTAAGAAGCCTGAGGCTTGCAAAGGAGGGATGCAGCCTGAGTAGCAATCAGCTCCTGCAAGGAGCCCAGGTTGTGAGACCTAAGGGAGAGCCAGGCGAAGGGGGATAATGTTGGTGCTGGCCAGAAGCAGGCTGAGGGGCTGAGAGCTACAGGGAGAGAAGTGATGGGTCAGGACTGATGTCTGGGCACCCAAGAGGTGTGAAAAGAGACCTCAACACTGTGGTGACTGCAAAGGCACAAGTGGAGCATGGGGTTGGGGCTGCCCTGGGGGCAGTGTGAGCAATGGCACCAGTGTGTTGCCCCCCAGCCTGTGTGCATGGCTCTGATAGCAGGTAAGGGGTCATGTGCACAGGCAGATATGGGGCCCAGATGGTGTGTGGTGGTGACCATTTCCTGCAAGGGTTGGTGCCAGTTGCCCTCATCTGCCCCCAGTGAGCACCTTATCTTCTGGCACACGCTATGCCAGGCGTGGTGGTTCCCTCTTGCACAAAGGCCATGCTGTGGGGAGGCCCTTTGCTTTGAGCAGGTCCTCAGCATCTCCCCAGCCTGCCCCACTGCAGCCTCTCCCCACACACACCCAGTGGGGTTGGAAGACATCCCCTTCTCCCCGCTGGTCAACCAGTACCAGTGAGCAGAAGTGATGAATGATGCTACCAACACCCATGGGGATGGTGGTGGGAGCAGGGCAGGATGCAGGCGTCAGGAGATGCTGGCTCCTCAAAACAAAGGCGGTGTGAATTGCCGTAACGTGTACAGTTAATCCCCGCTGCACCCTGTGCCATCAATCACACACCGGCGTGACCGGCACCGAGTCCTTACAGGAGTTTCCACCCTCTCCGGTGGGGCCCCATCCTGCCCCGCTCCAGATTTGCCGGGGGAAGGATTGCCAGGTCCCTGGGTTGGGACAGATCCAGCCGCAGGCTATCGGGCGCTGGCAGGCACTCATCTCCCAGCGTGGCCGTTGCTTTCCCACCCCAGGGCAGAAGTGAGGCTGGCCCCATTGCCTGCCCCACTGCGCCACGTCTGCCCCATGCACCCGGGGACATGATGAATGGGGGTTGTTTCCCTGCCAACACTGACCCCAAGGACGCCAGGCCCCCCCTCTGTCCCTATCGAAGAGACCCACCGTGCTGTGGGAGCACATGGCAGCACCCAACTGGCAGTCCCCAGCCTGGGCTGGGCAGGGACCTGGGTTGTGGGGACAGGAAGGGGTTAAGCCGGGGAAGTTCTCTCACTCTCGGCAATGATTTAAACCAGACAGAAAGGTTCTGTCATCCATCACGCTAACAGCCAGATCATTGTGTTTTAAAGTGTCTGTAATTGCAGCAATACAGAGACTGGGAGGAAGATAAAGGCTGGGAAGATGCAAATGCGGAGGGGAAGCACCAGCACCCAGCGGGGAGAAACCCGGAGAGCCCTGGGCCCCCTGGCTGGTGGCTGAGTGAGCCCTGGGGACAGCCATGGGGACTGCCATGGGGCCAGCTGGAAGGGTCCTCCTGCCTGCCCCACCTCAGCTCTGGCGCAGGTTTGGAGCACCCACAAAACAATGTAAGCAAACAGAACCAGGGACAGGCACGGGCAGGGAACGGTCCAGATCTGCTTCGCTAAACACCATTTTTATAGTACAGTTATCTTACTCCCTTGTTATCCCCAGCTTGGCTCTCGGTGGTATTTCTATCCCTATCTCTCTGCTGAAATCCCCCGGCTCAGCATGCAAAGGATGGTTAGATCCTCCCCAAAGCATGCAAGGAGGTGGCCATGGACATGGCCACGGGTGATCAGGCTTTGTCCCAGTGGCCGTGCCCACGTGCAAGCACGCCGACAGGGAATTATTAACATTCAGACGAGGCCCGCTGAATAAAACGAGCTAACACAAATGTTTATTTTCACAGTAGTGAATTATGACTTCAATAGACCAAAATTACAGGCTGCGTGTGTGGAATAGGAATGAAGCAGACCCTGCCACCCAAATGCAGGGTGCATGGGCAGCAGTGCCTGGCTACATCTGCCTTTGCTCATGGGGCAAGATGGTGCCAAGCCAGCAGGTATTTGATAGCATCCTTCAACTGCATCCCAAGTTGACCAGGAGCTGGGCATGTTGCAGCTTATCCCAGAGAGCCCTGTGGGGTATTCTTATGGGCGGACAGCAGGGCTGGTGTAGCTGTGTATGGGGTGGATTTTCCTCCACTGTGGAATTTCCTCCACAAATCTTTGTGGATTTCCTCTGCAAATGAAACTCACCTGCAAGAGGCTCCTTGAGAGGGGTCCCATAAGGAATGAGGGCATAGGGAATAAGGGAAGAGCAGGAACAGGGAGAGCCCCAGTGAGAAGTGCAGGGTATGTGATGCTGCCCAGTGCACACACACACAGTGCTGAGTGGTGTAGATACAAGAGCTGTCAAAACCTTCATGCTCCCCCAGCACAGGCAGTGCAACAGCAGGGAAATATCCCTGGGAATGAGGGATGCAGAAAGAGAGCTGGAGGTTGCGATGGTCCAGAGTGAGGTCGGGAGCACTGGGTCAGGGTGGTGCTAGTAGGGGGGTATTGGCTGTGCAGAGCCCATGCAGCGATCACACAGTGCCAATGCATCACCACGCAGCCATGCTGCAGCCTGGCAGAGCCACCGCGGTCCCCAGCGCCCAGCCCTGGGAAGCAGGAAGGGATGAGCAATGCAAGAACCAACCATGCGGGTGGCAAAGGCTCCGCGCAGCATCTCGCAGAGGGGAAGGCAGCTGCCAAGCAGAGTAATTACGCAAAGAGGCAGGGCTTCAGCACAGGGAAATTAGCAGGGCTTGTGTTACCCGGCGCACAAGAAAGCGACAACGCCGTAGTAGGGCTTGGGGGGGGGGATTTTTAATGTTCCCCCCATCGGGTATGGGGCACGCAGGAAGGGCACGCTGCGACCGGGTGAAAGCAGCAGTGCTCTGAGCGCCTGCACCATTGCCCTGCGCTGCTGTAGAGGAAGGGTTCCACTGGCATTCCTGTGGTGCCAGAGCCACGCAGCCACCCCAAGGAGCCCCAGTGGGGCCAAGCAGGGTGGAGGGCACCCCGAGGCCTGGCAGGGACGGGCATGGGGGCTGTTGAGGGCTGTGGGGTGTGTGACTGTGCATGTGGTTGCTGCTATTGCTTGCATTGACAGAAGCAGAGCAGCCACAGCCTGCAGCCCCCACACAGCCCCCCACACACCTCACTTCAGACTGGGACAGTCCCAGCTCCATCCCCCTGACTGTTCCCACGGCCCCAGACAAGCCCTGGCCCCATTCCCTCGCAGAACCCCTCATCCCATGCAAGCAACACCCGGTCCCTTGCAGCCCTCTGACCCCCATTCCTCAGCACCCACAACCCCCTGTGAACGCTGAACCCCCTGCCATTCCCACCTTCCTGCAGCCCCCAAGCCCCATACACCCCCAGCACCATCCTCTGGTCCCCAGGCTGCTGCTCCCAGTCCTTGTGCAGCTCCCTAAGCCCCGTGCAGCCCCTCCTGTGCCGGGGAGCCCCCCATATGCCTATGGAGTCCTTGGTGCTGCGCAGCCCCTCATTGTTCCTATGGAGACCCGCTGTGGCATGCAGCCCCCCATTTCTCTGTGTAGCCCCTCGGTTCTGCGCAGCCTCCCCGGTGCTGTGCAGCTCCCTCATATCCTCCTGCAGGCCCCCATAACCCAGTGCATCCCTCCATGTCTCTGTTTGGGACCCCATAACCCTGTGCAGCCCTCCGGTGCTCTACAGCTCCCTGTGTCTCCATTTAGCCCCTGGTGCCATGCAGCCCCCATGTCTCCGTTGAAGTCCCCTTATCCCCGTACACCCCCCATATCCCCGTGCACCCCCATATCCCTGTGAACCCCCCA